TATAATATAACTAAATCAATAATGGCCATAAAGGTAGAACTGTATAGGTACAAATGTAATGATACCGTAATGTGCAAAACATATGAAATGCAAACAATCAATATAATTTTATTATGTCAAATTTTTGATAATCTGCAATGAGGAAATATCGTCACGTTAATGTATACAATACACAGCTATAACCAAAATTACAATGAACAGAACATATAATAAAATATTGAATAATAAAAAAACTTATATTCATGGCTACTTTAAACTAACAAATAGCGCTTAATATAACAAAAACAAAATACTAAAGAAAACAAAACCAAGAGCTTTCTTAGTGTGAAGACTCAAAACTCGCCCTCGATTAACAGCTTTAAATTAACACTTGAGAAGATGCTTTAAATGCCTATAACTAAATAAATTAAATCGCCTTTTATTACTCCGTTTGATTAGTCATTTCCTGGAATTACCTTTTCTTCCTCTTTTTCATCCCTGTCCAGTAATTTTATCCTTTTGGGTCTCATTGTTCCCCATCACCTCACACCCTTGGCTGCTTTTTAAATTGATACATTTCAATGTAAATAATGCTAAATTTGTGTTTTGTCGAATGACAATGTATTCATCTTATTGAATAAATCGGTACACAACATTATTATTATTACTGCCATTGTCTATTTTTTCTATTATATTTACATTTTAATTATTGTAATACACTGCTTTTGCAGTCACTGTAATATTACTTTTTTTATTTTTATTGTTACGGTTTGCTATTATTTTTATTGTGTTAGTGTTGATTTTGTTATTATTGCTAGTGTTTTTATTTGTGGTATTATTATTATTATTATTATTATTATTATTATTTTGACTGATTATTCTTAATATTACTATTATATTGTATCATTATTACATGTTTGCATATTGGGGAATCAGTCAGAAAACAAATTTAGGCTCATTTGATCCTCCATCCTTTTGTTGCATTCTCCATTTTGCTTCCTATGGTTATTTTTTTTCTTCCAAGAAAGGAAATAAACTTGATTTGATTTGACATAATGTGAGTCTTCAGTCATCCTATTGCCTGTTCAAAAGGTATCCAGATCCGGTTTTTTTTTTTTTATGTGATTGGCAGGAAACAGCATGGAGGTAAGACAATAGACCTATCCGGAGCAGTGGCGGACCAAAGGGTAAAATGTTGGATATGCTAGGGGCTGCTAGTGGGAAATCTATCAATTCTACAGCCAGACTACGTTTTATAAATTTAAAATAAAAGTACCGTAGTTATTTGAATAAACGTCCCACTCCATCCCCCACCCCCAACTCACAGCCACATTTGAAATAAACGCCTCCCTGGGGTGTCCTCGAATACATGCCCTTGGCAAAAATATCGAAGGAGCGGGGGCTTAGCAAAAAGTTCCATGTAACCAAAGATAGGATTATTAAGGATAAAAGAGGCCGAACTTTAAGTTTATTCTAAGTGAAGGTTCCACAAATCAAACAGATGTGAGGACGGATTCAGGTAGGCAGGTTGGATTGTTTAGGACCATCCGCTGGGGACAAGGAGATCGGTGGTAGTCCAGGAACGGAGTAAATCTCCAGTAAAAATGATTTTTGAGACTTGTGTTTTAATCCAAAATTAAGTGAAAGTTGAAAGTCAAAAGAGCACACCGTAAAACCTCGAATAGAAGCCCTGGGCTTTATTTTATTTTTTTTTTTGGGGGGGGGGGAACTTGGATGGGCCTCTTTTTGAGGCTACTTTTGCAAACTTAAGAGAGGGGCTTCAATTCGAGATGGGCTTCTTCTCGAGATTAAGCCCATTGGGATTCTATTCGCAACTTTAAAGCTCAGTGATAATCGATAGTATTTTCCTAATCTGTCAAAATTCTTTTTCTATCAGTACTACCCTTGTTGCATGCAATAGTCTTCTTGGGACACTTTCTACATTTTCTTTGCATCATTTTCAAAGAATTCTACCTAAATGATCAGTTTCGGTGACAAAAAAAATGCTGATATACTTCAGCACTGGTGCCAACACTAGTCATCAATCATTTGATCAGAATCCCCTAATTAGGTTTGGTGAAGTCATCATGATTATTATTTGTCACTGAAACCATAGTCGAAACTGATACTTATAAAATCACTTAGGTAGAACTGGGTGTAATTTTGTACCTGCAGTATAAAAAATGAAACAGACAGAGTTGTTATACAGTAGAATGTTTAATTTTTATCGTTCATAATTTCTTTATGCACACAAACTAGTGGTCAGGAAATTCCCCTCAGGGTTTAAAGCGATCAAGACAATGCATACAACATCAGGAAAGTGGCCTCTCTACTGATTTAATTGCTTCATCCTGATTATATTTTATAATCATGGCATAATTGTTTGTTGCTAACTGTAATCCTGCATTCATTATTAAAATACACTGGTCATACGACTATGAGATGCACCAATGAGATTGTACTTGCAGGCCATGTCAACTTTCCTCCTCAGCTGCAATATTATGGTACACCCTCATAACATTTTGATTCTCTTCCAAGACTTCTACTAGTCGTGATGCTTTCTCCAAAGTACTACTATCAAGGCTTTGCGCATTCTCTACTATATAGTCTATATTTGTTGAATCGGGCACGTACTGTAATGAAATTAGATTAGTGCGTACTTCTTTGATGTCTTTAGGGTCACAGTAGAACTGTAAAAAATAAAAACACAGCAAGGAATTACACACAAAAAAAGGTAAAGGCAGGAGAATAACCCATAAATCACAGCAGCATTGTGCTGAATGTACGTGACTACCTATCCGCCTTTAAAGAGGCGCTTGTTCACATCATTCCACGACAGGGGCTGAAATGAACCACAGCATCGGGGGTACACCTTACTCTTCCAAAAGATGCAATGGGTTCTTTAAAGTGCACACGAGCAAGATGTGTACACTGAACCTCCATTTTAAGTCGTTATATGAGAAGACTTGGTTCTACCAACCGAATCCTGGGTGTAGAGCAGCTCGAACCAGTGCTGGTACTAAGGCTGCAGTTAGCGGCAATCCCGCCACTTGACTCGACCAAAGAAGATGAAATAAACAGATGTATATGTATTGGCAAAATAACATGATAATGATGGTAATGAAAATAACAACAATATAAATAATATATATTAATATTATTATAATCATTGTCGTTGGGTATCAGGTGTGCGTACCATAAATGACATCTTGCTATCCTCGTCTTCTGTTAATTCTACATCTTCTGCTCCAGCTTCTATAGCAACATCCATTGCATCCTCCTCGGACAGATTATGCTCAGACGTCTGTGCCGGGACTTTAAGAATTCCTTTTTTAGAGAATGCCCGAGTGGCACCTCCTGAATCTAGCATACTACCTCTAAATTAAAAGCAAGAGAAAGAAATTATTTTAGCTAAACAGAATGTTTTAATGTTTAATGGATGGGTATTACCATTATAATTTAAATAATTATGTGTATTTTTATCAATATCATAATCATCAATTTCAACTACTGTACTTTCATCTTTGACACTGTTACCATTATGAATGTCACTTTTATTAAACATCTTTATAATCATCATTATTAGATTATCATCATCATCATATTCAATAAATTGTTACTTCTGGTTAACACAAAGAAAATTCTTCCAAAAATATCCTCATAATCATCACTGATAGTATCATCTTTTTGATTTATTTATCTGTTATGTTTCCAACTCTTCTATGTTTTGTAATGATGAATCAGGACTTCCTTTGAAACCAGTAAAAATGTATTTAGAGATTATTTCAGAATATACTGTAGTACCATCGGCAGCATCGCCGTTATTGATGTCATCTCGTCATTGTCTTTATCATCATCGTCATCATTACCATCAACACTACAATCATCATTACCACCACCCCACCCACATCCAAGGACTGTCCTGGTATGCTACACAATACCTGATAAAGTTGGCATGGACTGTTCCTGGAATGTGCTACACATACATGGCATTTTACTATTACTAAGCTCTACCATTTCTCAAGCCTAAAATATTGCCATATATATTGATAAAGTTATGAAAATTTAAAAAAAGATGAACTACCCATGTTTGTTGAGGATCTTGGATAGTTCTGCTTTCGTTCTTAAGACTTGATCTGAAGACACGTCAATCAAAAAGAGACACCCTAGTGGACCCTTGGCTTCCAGGACGGTACCATAGCTCTTTGATTTTGACTACAGAAAAAAAAAGAATCAGCCCAAATACATATAATCAACCAAATACATACAATACTTTGTTAGAGAAATCAAAACATGAAATAAATATATATAAATGGTAGGTGATATCAATACAAGAGTCCCAAGTTTCCCAAGATTCACAGGAGTCTCCCAAAAATCAAGATTGCCTCCCATATTTCCACAAGAAGTCTCAATGAAACTAACCCATCTCCCTCAAATTCATAATGGCTATGCTCTCACACAGCAGCTAACGGTTAGCAGGATCTGGATCCTGCTAACCGTTAGCTGCCGTGCATCCATACGAGAAAATCCCAATCCGGATACCAAAGATATGATAATCGAATCACTGGCCAATAAGAAACTGGAAATAAAACGTGTACGTGTGATTGGTTGATGATAAAAACGCGCTCAACTTGCTAACCGATAGCGCTTGCTAACGGTTAACGCTAAGCGATTAGGCATTCTCACGCAGGTGCTAACGGTTAGCGCAAACGGTTAGCTCCCGATCTGGATACTAGGGCTCTCTTGAGAACCAGGCTTAAATTAATATGTTTTTTTAGACATACTGTATGGGACAGACAGAATAATGCAATGAATAAATGTTAATGAAACCTATAATAATAGAATCTGACATCGCTCAGACGGTTATAACCACCACTAGAAAACAGACTCTCGGGATGTTTCACATGACAAATGTCATAGCCACTTAATCAAGAATCTTTTTGTAGTGAATCCATGTACCAAAGTATTTTCAAAATCATATACACTATTTTATCAGACATATTTTGAAACAGCTCCACACAACGTCTGAAGACTGTATCTTTATAGTTACTGTACAAATGCCTTGATCATTGTTGTCAAGTACAGGTTGCTAATTAATTAGGTTTGGGTGGGCCAAGTTGCTATAAGATGACTTGCAAATTTTCAATTGGGGACATCCAGCAGAGCAGAAAAAAAACCAAAAACACTGCAGGTTTTATGCGCTCCTATTTTATTTTTTTGTTTTGTTTTGGCATTTGGCTACAAAAAGAAAGAAATCTGTGTACCGGCCACATTGGTATAACTAAAGTGAAATGCCTGAGAATGTCCCTCCAGTGGTAGTTGCCAGGTTCTTAGAAGTTTTCATTTAAAATTTGGCAGCAGGATGAATTCTATGTTGAATATGTATGGTCTGTGTTTTATGTTCATGAATGACAATCTCCCAAGGAGTAGAATCTATGATTATTTGTAGACAAAGGACATGTGAAGACTAATACTGGTACTCACTGCATTGTTTAAAGTATTTTCAATAGTTGCTTTTGGTACTCCTTTTTCCTTGGCTACATTGATTGCATGCGAAAGAGCTGAATTAGAAGTAGGGTTTGGGCCACCATCTGAAATTTAAATCATAAACATTTTTGTCAAAGATAAGTATCGGAACATTATAAACAAATATAGATATTTATTGAGAATTTTCATTCATTAATGAATTTATAATACATAACTTTAGTTCAAAATGCTGTAAAGTGAAGCAAAGGAAATATAGATTGATGCATCAGCCTCCAAGTATCACCTTGATGCTCGACCAACTGAGCTAAACGTCCCATACAGAAATAGTTGTTGTAAAAGGCAGCAGCAAAATTTATGCCTATTGCGAAAACAGATTTCTTAGCTTGTAGGTGGGGACTACTAAGCATTGCATTACCTCTCATTACAAATATAATTTGCAAATACATTTACGACCCCCATTCTTGTTTATTTAAAGTAAACACAAAAAATATATAATTGAATTCTTAAAGTCAGGCTCTGGAGGAAAACCATTTTTTGATATGTTGTACAACTGACCTTTTTGAAGACACAAAATGCACATTTGATGAAAAACTTGGGAATGGTTAATATGATATACAGATTATTCAATATTTAAAAACTGGGGGAAAAGTGGCATAACCACCCTTTTTTCCAACTTTTTCTTCTGGTTTTTAAATATTCAAAAATTTGTAGTCTCACTAAACAATTCCTGAGTTTTTCGTCAAAATATGCTTTTTGTGTCTTGGAAAAATCAGTTATACAACACAGGCTTTAAAGTAAACACACAGAAAGTATGATTTTGTTATTCAAAGCAACTAACGAAAATCCCATCTTACCTCTAATGGCAATACGGATTTGTTTTACCAACTTGGAAATCATTGTTCCTCTTTGCTGGTCTTTAGGTCCTTTAATATGTTTGACTTTTGACCATTTATTGTGTCCAGCAGAGCAGCGTCTGGACACATGCAAGGCTCTCATTTGCAAATGCACAACTCCACTACAGGGTTGACAAGAGCAATGGGTAGTCAAAGTGACATTTGTCCTGCTCTTTAATTCAGGACTTGAATTCAAAGAGTATGGATTGCATGCTGAGTACTCCCATAGACCTGGATGGTATTGACATGTGTTGGAAAGGTTTCCTAAATGAATCAGGGATCTCAGGACTGGACTGTTGATCCCTTTTATTAGTAATGGAATTCTTTTGACTGAATTCATTGCTTCTAAATCCAGATAGCAGCTAGTGTAACACTTCCATAGAACCTAGCGACAGAGAAAAAGAATATTTATTCAAAAGCTTTTATACTTTTAACTTTAGTCTTCATCAGAACAAGTAACTGTATATACGTATAGTGACAGGTGACCTGGTATACTATTTAGCTATGTAAATTATGTACCTAATCGTGTTGCGTTAATAACATTGGAAAATGGCGAGTTGGTTTTGTTATAAAGATACTTACAATGAGTCAACTGTGGGCGTGGCAGAAACTACCGAGATATTGTCAATCACATCAAACTCCAATGACGAATCTTGCAACCTTACGTAACTGTCAGACGAAGTTAATAATACAGTTATTACTATATTATCTGCCATTGGAGCTATAAGTTTATTGGCCAATGCGGCATTTTCAAGTTATATACTTATCAAGAACAGAAAAAAGAAAAATCAAGGCACAAAATACTACCGTATGCAACTAGCGTAAGTCAACAGTGCAGTAAACAACAGCATGGAGTTGAAAAATTTAACCAAGAAGTTGGAGAAGATGATTATATGGAACCAATTAAAGTTGGAGGAGATGGTTATATGGAACCACCTGCACACATTCAAGATCCATACGGTGTTAATGTTGAAAAAAGATTTTTAGACTAAAAAACATGACAAGAATGGTCTGAATATTATAACCTCATAATATTCAATAGTTATTATCTTTCAATTGCAAATCAAATTTAAAAAAAATTGTATAAACTGTTAAATTGTCTCCTATAAATCTTTTTTGGTATAAATACATATATACATATTTATTTCATTTTTGTATATCCCATATAT